GATGTTTTACGCAACATATCCAAATTTCAGAATTTTTGAAGTTCGTTTACTATTTATTTTGATGAGATTTCGGTCACTGTGTAAACTGCTCAAAATTACCCCGATTCTTTGGATATTCATTTTTATAAGCGGAATGGTGGGGGTGTCGAGGTTGAATAGTTGGTACCAAGAGGATTGAAATTTATGCTTGAATGTGTGTTGTATGAATTAATTTGAGGATGAAATGAGGATGTTTCGGGGCTGGAGTGAGACTGATTAGAGTGTCGGATGTTGTGGGATGGAATTGGCAAGCTTAGGGCTTGATATAAGGACAAATGGTGTCGGTTTGGTGTGTGGTAGTATGGCTGGATTGTGGTGTTTAACATGCTTGGAAATGTCGAATTTATGCCTATGAACGTGGCTGTGTTTGTGGGCCCATGAGTGGCCTTGTGTGTTTATTGAACCGAGATTTGATGGATTGAAATATGCTTGATTGTGTGCACGCTTGGGCCGGACTGAATGAATTGTCAAATAGGCCATATCGAATGCTTGGTGAGCATGAAAAATGTATGTGAATTGTTGCGTGCACGAGCCGCGTGTGATTGGCCAACTGAGTGGCAAGTGGTTGTTGAGCATGTGCATGAGCAAGAAAGTGAATGTGGTGTGGCATGTGCGGTTGTGAGAATTGTGCCGTCCTGAGGCGTGTACTTCAACGCGGGACGATGCCCGGTATTACCGGAAGACTGCCAGCCTGAGGAGTGTACTTCAACGCGGGTTGTGCAGTAGGTGGTAGATGTTGAGCCTGAGGCGTGTACTGTAACGCGGGCGAGAAACATGGCTTGAGGCGTGTACTGTAACGCGGGCCCTGAAGTGTTGTGAAAATTGGTCGCAGTGAACCTGAGGCGTGTACTGTAATGCGGGTCATTGGCGAGTGGTACGGAAAGGAATGTGATGAGGCAAGCGGAAATGCGTGAAACGTGAATTGAGTATGCGTGTGATTGCATATAGTGTGAATATGACTAACGTGCAGGGTGCAAGCAGGATAGGCCAGGTAAGCACAATTGATGTGCCTGTTATGTGATGATTGCGTGCGTGTGGTTGAGTCTTGTGATTGTCTGGAGGTACGTGATAGCCTAGGTGGGGTTTAGGGCGTGTGCTTATTGAGATGTGATCTCATGGTTGTTTCAACCAACAATTTCAGAATCCCGGTCTAAGCGATGAACCTTCCGCCGCCGCCGCAGCGTTTTGCAATACCGTTGCACACCGACAATAGCGTGGTAGAGTACCCGACAGACGAGCAGGAGGCTCAGGAGGATTCAGACTCGAGTTCTGAGGAGTTGGATTCGGAGTGGACGTCATCTCGAAGGCGTAGGGGCTAGAGTAGGGGTTGGGAGTAGGTCTTTTGAGGTGTACCATTTTTTGGAAGTTAGGATATCCAGGCTATCGATCCTTTTGATGTCGATGGTTAATAGTTATAAGTTCGGTGTGCTGGTGCATATGTATGGTGGTTTTGTAAATTGGGAATATTGTATAAGTTTGGAAGAAAAATGAATATGTATCTTCTCCTTTGTTTACCCCAGTTTCTATTTGTTCGGGTATTAATAGCTTTCGCTGATCGTTTTTAAATCTCTGATGATGTAATTGGGTCGGCGATACCCTGGGACATCGCATTAATCGACCAGAGAAGTGTGTCGCGTGCTCGATGGGGTTCGGGGCGTGACAAAAAGTATAAAAAAAGTCAAAAACTTATTGCACTTGTGCTAATTCAGTCTAAGCCTTTCAATTGCACCAATTGAGTCCTAAACCTTTTGACGATTTGTTAATATAGTCCATCTGGCCAATTTTGATCAGAAAACACTGACATGGAAACCAGTCGTCCTACGTGGCACAACCGACGTTGACGTGGAAATTTTTTTGAAATTTTTTATTTGTTTTGAATTTTTTGTTACTTTTTTTGTTTTCTTTTTTTTATTGTTAAGGGCTGGTAGGGGGCCACCGGACATGGACAAGGGTTTGTGAGCCCTCACTGAGTGGCTAGTGAGGGCCAATTGGAATAGCACGCGACCCTCACCAGCCACGTGCAAGGGCCACAAGTCCTCCCCAACTGCGGGGAGGGTCGCGGTCCTCACCCAGCTCTGAGCGAGGGCTGACGATGGCTCGTAGGCCTTGTGGCTGACAGGGTTTACTAGGCCGCCGACCCTTAACAATAAACAAAAAGAAGAAACAAAAAAACAAAAAAAGTAACAAAAAAATCGATTTTTTAAAATAGTAATAAATTGTCCACGTCAGCCCTGGTCGCATCACGTAAGATGACCGATATCCATGTTAGGAATTTCCCGCCAAAATTGATTGTATGGACTACAACGGCAAATCGTCAAAAGGTTTAAGACTCAATTGGTACAATTAAAAAGGTTTAGGACTGAATCGGTACAAGTGTAATAGATAAGATTTTTTGGGAAAATTCCAAATGAGGGCACTACTTGAAGTGCCATCATTTTATCAAAAAAGGGCCTGAAGTAGACATTGTTTCAAATAAGGGTCTGAAGTGCCATCATTTTCTCAAATAAGAGTATAAAGTTGATCTTGTTTTAAATAAGAGCCTGAAGTAGCTATGTTAGTTTCAATGAAAGGTTTGACTTTCCGGATCGTTAAGAGCATTTCCGTCCTTTACCTTTTTTGAAAATTTTCCCTTTTTTTTTCTTTCCTTTTTTCTTTATTTTCTTTTTTCCTTTTTATGGTTTTTTCTATCGGCCATTGGCGAGGGATGGGTAAGGGTCGCCCTCACCGGCCACAGGCGACAGACGGCAAGGTCATCTTGCTAGCGACCGGCCACCGGCAAAGAAGAAATAAAAAAACTAGGGATAAGTGCACTACAAGTCCTAAAACTTGTCACAAAAGTGCATTTGAGTCCTAAAACTTACAAAAAGTGTAATTGAGTCCTAAAAGTTGTCAAATTGATTCAATCGAGTCCTAAACTTAACACCGTTAAATTTACTAACGGAAAATGCTGACGTGGCGCTGACGTGTCATATTTTAATACATTTATTGAGACACGTGGCGTCCAACAAGCGCCACGTCAGAAAAATTTTAAAAAATGTAAATTAAATTAAAAAAAGCTATAAAAAAACAAAAAAAAAAGGAAAAAAAAACCCTAAACCAGTAGCTGCGGCGGTGGCCAAGCCCTCGCCGGTGGCCGCCGCCACAGCCGCTGGGAAGGACCGGCGGAGGTCGCCTGGGCCTTCCCGAAGCCCGGCGACCCTCGCCGGCCGCGGGCGAGTCCCCGGCGAGGGCCTGCAGCCCCCGATTTGGGGGAGGGCGCGACCCTCGCCCCAGATCTGAGCGAGGGTCGCCAGCCCTCGCCTGGGGCCGGCGAGGACCGGCGAGGCCTTGCCGGCCCTCGGCGGCCCCCGGCGACCCTCGCTCAGATCTGAGGCGAGGGTCGCGCCCTCCCCCAGATCGGGGGCTTCATGCCGTCGCCGGGGACCAGTGGGGCCTTGCCCGGGGTCGGCGAGGGTCGCCGGGCTTCGGGAAGGCCCAGGCGACCTCCGTCGGCCCTTCCCAGCGGCGGCCACCTGCGGGGGCTTGGCCACCGCAGCAGCTGCCGGTTGGGTTCTCCTTTTTTTTTTATTTATAGCTTTTTTCTAATTTAATTTTAATTTTTATTTTTGCTGACGTGGCGCTTATTGGACGCCACATCATTGCCACATGTCCCAATAAAAGTAATAAAATATGACACGTCAGCGCCATGTCAGCGTTTTCCGTTAGTAAATTTAACGGTGTTAAGTTTAGGACTCGATTGAATCAATTTGACAAGTTTTAGGACTCAATTGCACTTTTTGTAAGTTTTAGGACTCAAATGCACTTTTGTGACAAGTTTTAGGACTTGTAGTGCACTTATCCCAAAAAACTAGAAAAAGGAAAAAGAAAGAAAAAATTAAAATTAAAATTGTCTTTGGATGAAAATGCCGTTAATTGGCTGGAATATATTTAGCCGGTCGGCGACCGGCAAGGTAAAACCCTTATTTGAGACTGACATGGCCACTTCAAGCCCTTATCTGATCCAAGGTCCACTTCAGGCCCTTATTCGATAAAATAACGGCAATTCAGGTTCTTATTTAGAATTTTCCCAAATTTTTTTGATATTTTTCCCCTCTTGCTAATATGCCCAAAGACACATTTGTTTATCTCGAGAGAGAGCCTATGGAACGAATGTGGACGGACGCTTTAGGAACACTCCTATCTCACGCATGTAGCGATTGATTTTGTTTTCCACTTTGAGCCCTTGACCAACCCTCAATCCCCAAATAAAAACTTCTGATCCAATTGAGCCTTGAGTTTATACAGGCAAATTTGCATTCCACTTTCATCTTCCTCTTCCAACCAACAACAAAGAGAGCAACACCAACACTAGGATGACGACAAAGAAGTGAAATCTTTTTTGGAAAATGAATGTCGATTTTTCAAAGAGAAAATCATTTTTCTTGAGTTTAAGTATAGGCTAGGAAAACATTTTCCGTTGACTTATATTTTTTTTTAGTGATCCAAACGCCGAAAAATGCTAAACAAACGGAGCCTAATAAAATAAGTTAATTCCTGTTGGGAAAGAAAAGACACGATCGCAAACAGAAGGAGGAACGTGTTGTCACTACGTGCTAGTTGCCTTGCAGCAAGAGCTACTCAATCTTCATGAAAAACCCAAATGAATTTCGATTGTAACCTGATTCATCTTTTGCCAATGAGAACCTAAAAATGTATTTCCCCCTTCTATAACATAATTAAATGTCCAAATTTAGAAGTGGAAAAACAATGAAAGGTAAAGAGAATCCTAAAATTGTGCTTTTGCTGTCTGCTGATAGTAATTCATGATAGCTCGTTAATGTCGCAACACCTCAAATTCTCATGGCCAAAGCCTTGAAAGAATGTCTTGCGTTGTGCTTCAAGCACAATTATTATATCATATGTGGGATCCCGACAGACTTCGTAGATAAGAGATAAGAGTATGCAACAACGTATTGAATTCTTCATTGTAGATATGAGATAAGAGTATACAACGAAGTGTTGAAGTCTGCATCGTCCTGTGTTTCAAAAAGGAGGTACATATATACTCGTCACTGTGGACATTCATAGAGCTAACTCCGAAAACATAGCTCGCATTTTGAACAAATAAATTACCTCTTCCTTCTTCGTCATGTATTCCTCCAGTTGAGCAATCTTATCGGCAACAGACTTCTCCTTCTGTCCTGATATCAACAAGTAATAGACTTAATATGTTAGTACGATAGAGATAAAATAACATGTGAGTTTGATTCATCGAAGAGAATGGGAGAGATTCTGAATCTCACTTGTTTGTTCATATTGCGCGAAGAGAGTTTCCTTCTCCTCCTCAAATGACTGTATGTTGAATGGCCAACGGAACCAACCAAGTAAGCAATCAGACAATCTAAGAACATCATGGTTCATCGAGTATCTTTTTTAGGATGAAGGTACATATATAATTTATTGTTTTTCGAGCATTCTCTCAAATTGTAAAATGTACATGCTTTTTGCCTATAAAAGCTCTATGCTTAGCTGTCCGATTTTTTTTCTTTAAACTCCAGAAACTTCAAAGTAAATTATGGAAGCAGTCAAACTTCATCAAATTTGGCAGTCATATTCCCCAAGCTGTTTTCACTCTGCATATCATCGTGTATTATGATTTCTCTCACTTACTTCTCCAAGGCTCCTTTGAAGTAACTCCACAAAGCATTGTCTACATAAACATATTCATTAAACATAAACATTGTACTCAAGCAAAGTTAACATGACCACAAATGCAAGTATAACCTTTTGAATTTACCTTTCATTCTCATGTTCTGACTCCATTTCATCAACCAAGAACCATATCTGAGTGAACAAACTGTCCAGCGAAGGACAAATAAAAGAAAGTACTAAATAAGAAAAGAAAGTGAAACCACCATGGGAAACAAGAAGTCAAATGAGTTCAAAAAACCGGTGCAAATAGAGTTTTTATCATTGAAATAGAACATGAATTGACTTTAAAAGAACTTTATATAAATTGAAGTTGATATTTCACAATCATCCTAATGTGGTAAAATAGGCAATGCTGTGAACGGACAGGAGAATTGGGACTCTGGCGGAACAAAACATCGCTCGACACATGGGACAAAAATCAGGAAAAAGATCAAAGAAAACAAGTCGAATCACCCCGATATAGTATTTTCATTTTTCACGTAGGCCTTATTGTATTCCACTCCCATTTGCTTTATTTTATGTCTGCACATTCCACGATTTTCATATCAGATTTCAATGTAGTTGCAAAAGTTCAGAAATTACTCCAGAACTGACTTGAGAATCGATCGATCAATGGACTTAGAAATTTACATCCTCTTCATTTGGGAGGAGAGCTTGGGCTCGGCTTCGGCTTGATCCCTGGAGACGGATTTCTTTTCTTCTTCAGGAACGATCGACATTTCAGGAAGAAGAAAGAGCTACTGGCTGCACTATCCGAGTAGTTTTTTTGAGTGTAACTAAAGAGAATTGTGTAGTTTCTATATATTTATGTGTTTTATGATAAGTACACGAGCCAATATGCTTTATTAAATGACTATCATAAGATAACAAAATAATCAATTAAGGATGTGCATGATCGAAAAAATATTTGAAGAATCTCTTAAATATACACATAATCCCGAGAGATATAGAAAATTAAGAAAAATATCGTAATTATCCATAACAAAAATATTCAGAAATTCTTTGCATCATTTTGTTCTTTTGTTCACTTTATTTTTTGTCGCGCTTTTTCCACTCCCTCTTTAGCTAATACACTCCTCATCACAATGTTTTGACTATATTATCCCTCGTGAGACCCATTTTTTAGCAAATTATACCCGACTGTCATTCAAGTTCAATGGCCCCTCATTCTCTCTCTTGCTCGATTGTCATCCTCTTCTTCCTTGCTCCTTCTCCACCTAAGTCATCCATTGTGCACCGACCCTGAATGTTCCATCTAGAGGTGGCCACGGTTCGGAACCGACCGGTTCCGGTTCGGAACCGGCGGTTCCGGTTCGTGGCCAAGCGTGAACCGGAACCGTAACCGCCTCTGGCAGTTCCGGTTCCGCGTCGGAACCGTACGGTTCAGGTCCGGTTCCGGGCCGGTTCCTATTTTTTCTGTTTTTTTTCTTTTCCTTTTCCTTTTCTTTTTTTTTTCTTCCTCCGCGGCCGGCCATAGCCGGGGCCGGCGCGGAGGTCGCCGGCGCCGGGCGAGGCCGGCCCTCGCCCGACGCCGGCGAGGTCGAGCCTCGCGGTGTGCGGCGAGGCCGAGCCTTGTGGCGTCGGGCGAGGCCGGCTCGCCCAGCCTCAGCGAGGGCCGGCCTCGCCCGACGCCGGCGAGGTCGAGCCTCGCCGGTTGCGGGCGAGGCCGAGCCCGCCTCGCCGGCGTCGGGTGAGGCCGGCCTCGCCCGGCCCGGGCGAGGGCCGCCCTCGCCCGACGCCGGCGAGGGCCCCCTCGCCCGACGCCGGCGACCTCTGCGCCGGCCCCGGCCATGGCCGGCCGGCGGCCGCGGAGGAAGAAAAAAAAATTAAAATATAAATTATAATTTTAAAAAACAGAAACAAGGAAAAAAGACAAAAGAGAAAAAGGAAAAACAGAAAAGGAAAAGGAAAAGAAAAAAAAGAAAAACAGAAAAGGAAAAACAGAAATGAAAATAAAAAAATTTAAAAAATACTATTCTTGTGATAGAACATTATTCAATATAAATTGTGATTAAAATGTAAATTGTACTCAAATTTGGGGACAAAAAGACAAGAGAGAAAGAGAGGGCTTCAACTTAATAAATTATCATTAAGCACATTACAATTCGTTACAACGATCTTAAAAAAAAAGGAGTACAATATATACCCTAAAATTATCCCAAAACCTAAGCATTCCGTGCGCAGGGGACCAGAGGTCACATATCGTCGGATTATATTTCGGTTTCCCTAAGCTCACGTGGGCGTACCCGGTATGAGAAACAAGAGTTCCCGAAATATTTGCCAACTCCAATAGTTCTTTTACCCTCAATCGTCACTACCCGTTCCAGTACCGATAGTGGTAGCGGTAGTATCTCCGTCGTTAAAGAATTCGGATTCATTATTCCGATCAATCTCTTGTTGCCGGTATTGAGCCTTCGTCCAATCAGCAACACAAGCTTGCATCTCCACTGATTCTGGATATAATCTTGAACGATGTTCGTTCAAAATATTACCTCCGGCACTGAATGCTTGTTCGACCGCAACTGTAGAACAAGGGGTTGAAAAAATCTGTTTTGCAATAAGAGAAAGGATTGGGTATTGGCTTGCGTGCCTCTTCCACCAATCCAAAATAAAAAAATCTGTACCACCTTCGGCTTCAGTAAACTCAAATAAAATGGTTAGATAACTCTCTAATTCAGAAATATTTCCTATTACTCCTTTTTGTTTTTTTTTTGTCTATGTAATAAAAGTTGGTACCCTCTACTAATTTTACCTGTACTGTCATTTTGTATCTCCGTAGATTGAGAAGATCTAATATCACCTAAATTATATTTAGTATAAAATTCATTATATAATTCTATTACTACGTTTTTAACCTCACGTACTATGGTTGTAACATTTGTCACATCATAATGTAAACATTGATAATACGCACGCAAAAAATCATTTAAGCCATCCAATTTGCAACGCGGATAAAAAACACAAGCAACTAAATAAATCATGGGAATTTCACTATAATAATGAAGCCATTTCATTTTCATTGCAACTACAGTAGGTTGTAATTCAACATCATTTTCATATTCATCAAAAGTTCCGACAATATTAGTACACTCTACTAAAAATAAATGTGTAGTAGGATAATAAACACCAGACAAAGTATAAGTTGCATCATTAAAAACCTTTAAAAGATCTAAAATTTTTTGGCAAATATGCCACTCTTGTGGGTATAAATTAATCTCAGGTATATTATTAGAAATGAATGCACATAATAAATCTTTATATGCTAAAGATTCACTAAGCAAGTGGAAAGTAGAATTCCAACGAGTTGGAACATCTCTTGGAAATCTTTTTGGCTTTTTGCCATTATCTCTACAAAATCTACCCCATTCTTTCATTTTTTTGGGGTGTTTCCATAAAAATTGAATCGCCGTTTTTATTGGTTGAAGAAAAATATCAAGAGTTTTCAAACCATCTTGTACACATAAATTTAAAACATGACAAGCACATCTAATGTGAAAAAATTTTCCACCAAAAGCGGGTTTACAAATATTTTCTAACTCGGCAATTAAAGCGGTATTTGCTGCGGCATTATCAAAACCAATTGAAAAAATTTTGTTAAGCAAATAATATTCTTCTAAAACTTGCCTAATTAGTCTATAAATATTATTTGCCGTATGATGATCATCGAAAACTCTAAATGCAATAACTCTTTTTTGAATAGTCCACTCGTCATCTATCCAATGACATGTTATGCCCATGTAAGAATGATTTTGCCAATGATCACTCCAAATATCACTACCTATATGCACGCATCCATTAAATTGCATAAAAAAGTTTTGTAAATCATTTTTTCTATTTTTGTAAAGATCTTTAATTACTCGTTTAGTTGTATTTCTAGAAACACGTTTTGCTTGTGGAGCACATGCTTTTTGTACAAATTCATTAAAACCAAATCTTTCTCCAAAATTAAATGCTAAATGCTCAACGGAAATAAATTTGCCTAATTCTTCCTTATAAGTTTTTTCATTAAAACGAAATAAAGGGGAAGTGTTAGGATTGACGTACCCAGAAATTTGTTGTTGCCCGATATCGATTCCCGTTTCAGTTGGATGTTTGCTCACAAGATGTCGTTTAAATGTTCCATATCCTTGTCCACCTGTATATTTATATATTTTTCCACAATATTTACAAATTATATCATACCTTTTTTGACCGATATCAAACCTTTCCATTTTCGTGAAGTGATTCCAAATGTCGGATGTAAATTCCCGTTCCGCTTCCTTTGTTGTAGATATTTCAGCAGGAGGATGAAAACTTTCTTGCGTCGGGACGCGCTCCACATCGTGAAAAATGTTGATTTCATCATCTTGAAAATCTGCATATTCACGAGGATCAAAAGAATGATGGGATTCCGTCGCGATATTCTTACCTTTGCCAGTTGGCACTCGACTTCCACTTGCCATTTTTCGAATGGATTGAGAGAATTGAGCGGATTAATTGGGAGAATTAAGAAAGAATTGCGTGGTTTGAGAAAATTGAGAGAATTTCAGAGAATTTGAGAGAATTTCGAGTATTGAGAAAATTTGAGACTTGAGAGAAGAGAATTGGAGAGAATTTGAGAGAATTTGAGAGAATTTATAGGAAAAAAATAGAAGAAAATTTAGAATTAAAAAAAATAAAACATAACCGTTGCAATTTTGCAACGGTTATGTGTTTTTTTTTTTTTTTTTTATTATCAAAATGCCCGTTGGGGCGTAGCCGTTGCCCCAACGGGCTGCAAGCCTGCGGCGGCGCAGCAGGGCCTGCACGTCTGCAGGCCCTGCTGCAAATAAATCTTTTTTTTTTTTTTTTTTTTTGTTGGGCCGTCCGTTGGCCCGTTCTCCCGCGGGTGCAGCGCCGCAGCGTGGCTCGCACCGCAGTCAGGTCAGAGCCTCGCACCAGCAGCTTTTTTTTTTTTTTTTTTTTTTTTAGAACCTGCCCGGAACCGGCGGTTCCGGGCCGGTTCAATTTCAGAACCGGAACCGGACCGTATGCCACGGGCCGGTTCCGGTTCCGAACCGCGGGCCCGGTCAACGGGCCGGGCCCGGGTTTGACCGGGCCGGTTCCGGTCTGGTTCCGGGCCAAAACCGGCCCGTGGCCACCTCTAGTTCCATCGACCGCGCCGTTCGCTCACTCCGCTGCCTCGCCACCCCTCGCAGCCTTGACCCACTATCATCAAGACATCACTCTCTTAGTGACGTCATTGGCTTCTAGATCCTGAAGCTCTTGTCCTCACTCGGTCCAGATCTTCCGCGCTAGCTCTAGTCACACCAATCCAAAATCTTGGGACCGTGAGGATGCTCGACAAGTGCTTGGGAGCTCGTCGAAGCTACCAGATCCGGCGGGAGGTGCGGCACGGCAAGGTGACCATCCTATGACCGTCATCGTCCTTCACGGCACCATTGGCGCTGGAAAGTTTTGTTGTTACGTAATAGTGCTTGTATATGCAAAATAAAGTTGTTCGACAAACCTGAAATGAGTAATCCGAATTTGACAAATGATCCGAGCCCAATGAATTCATGTTGTGTCCTTAAGACAATTTGTCCCCTCTACCGGTACCCAAGGTTGTTGAACAATTTCCTCCCAGGATAGAACGGATCGCCTTTCCAAAGAAGCGGTACTTCTTCAAAGGAAACCTTCGAACGCAAGTTCGCAGAATAATCGCGCGAATGACAATGATGAAGAATGATGATTACAGAAA